TGCACCCACGGGTGCTCCACACGAAACCTACCCTTCTCCAGCACAGCCTGTGCTGCTACAGAGAAAAAATTATGGTCAGTTAAATAACCTAGCTGTCTTCCCAGCTACAGTGTGCAAACATGCTGCTGCTTTTGTACCTGAGACTCTGCAACTTATCATTAATACAGTAGTATTTCCCTTTAGTTAATATTAAAACAATTGTGGCAGCAAGGAAGATAGTGGAGACAGTTCAATTTCACAAACATATTTGCTGGGCACTTAGAAATGAAACAGCATCTGAAAAACTCTTGAAGCCTTTGCTGCTGCTTTTCAGGGATGTTGTACCAAGTTCCAAGGCACCAAGTTCCAAAGCTTAGAAAAGAAATCCAGATGAGCTTGGACTGGCTGCTAAAAGCTACCAAATGTGTGCTTGCAAAACTGTGCTCCCTGCTGTTAACCAAACTCCCCCAGCCCACCGTGACACGTGGAGCAGCCCCGTGTCGGGATGGATCCGCCGCGGTGGCTCGGCCACGGTGGAAATGTGGCACTGAGCATTTCAGTCCCCAGATACTGCTCTCCACCTGCACAAGGCCAGCGATAACAGCAGGGCAACTGCACAGCCCTGCTCTGAGCGTGGCTGAGACATCTGTATCTGCGAACAGGGAGAACCGAGAGAAACTTCCCAAAGTGCTGCATCTCAAAATCCCAAATGCTGGAAGCTTGAGCCGTGGATGCTGTGGTGGATACCAGGTTCCTTCTGTGCTTTGGCTCATTTTATTGAACTCTTTCCCAACCCTTTCTCTTCTTGTTGCTGTTATTCAGTCTATGAGTCAATGGGGTCAAATGAATCTTCAGTGTACAGTTGTTGAGGTTGAATAAAGTCTTTTAAATACCTGTGATTTTTATAAATATCTCTGTGGTGAGTGAGCTTGACCAAGGATTGCTTTCAGCAAGAGGTGGCGTGAATTTAATTTAAGGTGTCGGTGAAAAAGTTTCCAGTGGCACCAGGTAAATAGTGCGTAACATGTCGGATGTATTGTCTGATCGTCGTCTCAAATACTCCTCATACAACAGCTTAAAAATACCCCATTTTCCACTGCTGTTTTGATACTGACTTCTGAAAAACCGCCTCTGTTAGCAGAGCAGTGTTTTTAATGCAAGCCCTGCCAGCGGTTGTTTGCAAGAAATTTTCTCATTTATTATACACAGAAATTAAGCTTTTTTTAATTTTTTTTTTTTTTTTTTAGTTGGCCAAGATTGTAACCTGCAGAGCTGGGGGATGGAGCTAGCAGGTCCAGCGAGCTGCAGCACGCTGCTCTGCCTAGACCCAGGCGCCGGGAGGTAGCAGTGAGGCTGCTGCTTGTGCTCGGCAGCACAACCCACTCCTGCAATGATTTGCCAAGTTCTCAGATGAGTGGTGGGGCGAGCGCGCAGGTTTCAGCCCACAAGTTCTGCCTCTTTCTGTATGAATAGGAAACAAGCAGGTAGCAAGCTCGAAAGCAAAATGAATCGTTTGTTCTGACCTGATTGATCACTGGGTTGCTTTCCAGCCCCACCAAGCCCACAAAAGGGGCAGCTGCTGTCACTGGAGATGCCTCAGGCAGTTACCTTGGGCAGGCAGCAATCAGATATTTCATCTGTTTCAAAGAAAAGCAAGCCCATCTGCTGTAGAAAGAGAAAATACAACCTGAAAGTTCTCCTCTCAGGTTCTCCTGCCTCGAAATGAGTGTGTTTTCTCTTTGATGGTCAAGCAGATATTGTTCTCTTATTTTATTTTTTTTTAACTGCTCTAATCTATTTTTAGCAACGAGGGAATGGTGTTCAAGAGTCTCTGCTGCTGGTCAGATCAGCTGTGGTTTGGGCTGCTCTGGACGCTGGGCAGGAAGTCAAACAAAGCCGGTCCCGGCATTGCGCTGGGTCTGCAGGTGTGGCCGGGACTGGGGGTCCTGCAGTGGTGGGGTGGGACCCCAGCTATGGTGGGGGGGCTGCAGCTGAGCCAGCAGGCACCTCGCGATAGCAGTAAATCAAATGCCTTTGGGAGTTTTTTTGGCTACTGTAATGGGAGAGCTGGAAGCGTGGCATTGCCCGGGTGTAATGAGAAAAAAAGGTGGGTTGTTTTGACTTTTTTTCCTCCCCTTTTTCCAGTGTCCCCATGTTTCGGGAGGACTATGGCAGCCAGGCGCCGTGCTACGGCTCAACAAACCACCACATTTGCTCTTTTTTCCACTTAAACAAAATGGCGTGACTCCCAAGGGGCTGTTTGGGCTGGTGAGGAGACCGGCGCTGTGGCAGTGGGGTGAGCAGCGCCGGTTGATCTGCTGTGATGTAGCCTCATGGACGGGGGTGCTTAAGAAAGCCTTAGATCAATATCTTGGCAAAAAAGAGTGGTTTTTTTTGTTCTCGCTTTCACCTCCCCAGCCTGCGAGCGGCCAGCATGGCTGGGGCCGGGGGGGACGCATGCCCCCCGGCCCGGGGG